ATGGTGGCGACGCCCAGACAATCTATTTTCTCCATCAGCAAGCGGCATCTCTTTTTGGCTGCTTCCACCTCCGCCTCTTTGCTCCTACGTTCCCGGTTACCTTGGTTTCTCATGATTGTCAACTCCCCCCCAACATTTATTTTTAGGGTAAGAATTGTTAATTTGATCTGATAAATTGATTTGTAATCAACAAAACTATTTGAATTTTTGTCTCTGGGTAATACTTGAAAGGCCTAATACAAAAGTAAGTGCCTGAAAAATGTTGAAAAATGTTATAGCGTCTAAACAATTTTTTTCTAAATTTTTTTTTCTAAAATTCTCTTTTACATTTTAAAAAAAATCACTAAGTTATATGGGTCACTTCCATATTTTTTTTAAAATAAAATACTTTTTTAAAATTTACACGTGACATGTGTCATTTAACATTTTTTTAACGGTATGTACCTAAAAATATAACAACGGAAAAAATTTTAGACACTTATTTTTAGAGAAAATTCTTTAAACATCAAAAATAATTTTGAGTATAGTGTAGACACTTATTTTTTATTAAGCCTACTCGAAATTTGGGGTAAGAAACTCTAGGTTAAATGAGAGAGAATATTGTAAAAATTTACGAAAATGAAGAATACTAAAATTATTTAAAGAAATAATATGAATGTTACGAAAGTTAAGAAAAATATATTTAAAAAATATTATTTTTAAAGTGAAATGATTAATTTGAAATTTGAAATTTTAATATTTATTAATATTTTTGAATCCTTAATTTCGTTTAAGAGTTAATTATATCACATGACCTCAAAGTATGACTCTTATTTTAAATTAGTCTATTTTAAATATTTTAATTTAATCCTCAAAGTATGACTCTTATTTTAAATTAGTCCTCAAACTTTTAGACATTTCAATTTCATCCCCAAACTATGACCATCATTCTAAATTATTCCCCAAACTTTTTTAACACTAATTTTATCCCAATATATATATATATATATATATATATATATTACATCCCTTGTTAGTAAAATATTTATGCCAATTTATTTTTATTCTATATTTGAAAAAAAATTAGGTTAAACTATGGTTGAAGCTAATTGCATAGTTGGATTAATTTGAGGATGAAATTGGAATATTCAAAAGTTTAGGGATCAATTTAAAAAGAGATTCATAGTTTAGCGATGAAATTAAAATGTTCAAAAGCTTAAGAGATGATTTAAAATGAGAGTTATAATTTGGGATGAAATTAAAATATTTAAAAGTTTAAGAATTAATTTAAAATAAAAGTTTTAGTTTGAGAATTGTGATCCAATGAACTCATTTTTTTAACTATAACATTATTAGAGTTGGTGATAAATTTCGATTTAATTATAATTTTTATTTGTGTCATAAGATCAAGTCTAAATTTTAAAAAATAGAAAATATTTATTACCAAATCATTGATAATGGTATATTTTTATGACATGTTTAAAAGAGGAGAGGTAAAAAACTAAAATTATAGATAAAAGGCTTCAATGTATATTTCCTAGTGAACTATACTCTTTTTACCAAATTACTCTTAAAATATTTTTCAGATCCCTCAACTATAAATATTTATTCCGTTTATCCTAAATCGTTAATACTGTTAAAAATAAAATTCACAGACTAATCCAAGTCACTATTTATTATTATTTGCTTTATTTAAATAAATAAAAACAATAAATAAAATAAAATAAGTAAACTACCCAAATTACCCTTCTTTTCCCCTCAACCCCACACCCTCCTCCCTAAACCTTAGTCCAATCCTTAGCGTGGACAGCAGTCCTCCAATCAAAATCAACGGTCACCATGATCAGCAGTCCTCCAAGCAAGCCATGTAATCTTCTTGCTCCGCCGCCGTGAATGTAAACTGTCCACCTCCACCCTCTACGCCGAGTGATAATTATTCCCATACGACGACCTTACCTACAACAAATAATTTTACAGGAAAACTTCATTATTGCCCTCAAAATTCAAAGCACAAATAATTTGGGAACTAATGAAAAGGGGTTTCTGAGTTTGAGGTTTGGAGGAATGGAGAAGAGAACAGGAAACAAGCAAGGAAAACTAAACTTTATTCACTGCAAAACAATTGAATCAACAGAAACTAATCAGATTGCTATCCAATTTATCACCAATCAAGATTCTCTTTCCCCCAGCAAAACACCTAAATCCAACTAAAATCGAAATCATCGAAGAAAAAGAAAAACATGGACTTTAGCACATCTTCATCGTTAAAAACGGAAAACATAAGAACTTATTTAGTTCTCATCTACTTTCTATGCAAACAACAAAGACGGTAAAAGAGCATACGAAACGGATGATCAAGATTAAAGAAAAAAACGAAGACACCCTTACCTTAACTCAGCCCATAATGAGATAAAAGCCCCACCGAAATTGTCTCTCTTCTCACTCCCCGAACCTCACCTTCACCGTAACACCACCCCCTTTCTCCAATCTCACCTACTCTGTTTTCGCCGTGCACTGCCGTTTGATTGCCGCTGCCATTCTTTTTCCTATTAGCAGGGACTTGGGGTTTAGCAATTTACGGGGAAATTTTCCGACTTGATTGCTTAAGGGAAATGGTGATTGAAAAGCTTTTAGATATGGAAGAAGATGGGGTGGTCATTGTTGATTTTGGAATGGAGAAAGGGAGGGAAAATGGGTGTTGGGGAAAGGTGGTGGACGGTGGGAGGAAGGAGGGGACAATATAGACATCGCTGTAATTTTATAGTTTAATTAAGTTTTTTTACTCATATAAAACAAATTAAAGATAAATGGTCACGTGGAATATTCGAATTAGTCTGTAAATTTTATTTTTAATGATGGTAATAATTTAGGATAAACGAGAGAACGTTTTTTTAGTTGAAGAGACCAAATATTTTAAAAGTCAATTCTATTAAAAAAATATAATTAAGGGGATATGCATTTAAGCCTAGATAAAAATCTAAAAGTTCAAAATTGAAGTTCTAAACAATATTTTCAAGATGAAAATGACAAAATGTGGCCCATATCTCGAAAAAAGAAAATACACGAGATTAAAAAATTATTTCAATTAAATACTCCAACACAAAATTATAACGTTTCAAAATTTTACAATATAATTTATATTTGAAAAGACGATATTTTCCTCAATTTCTAAAAAGTTTATTTAGTTATTATATTTTTAATTTCTTTTAATTTAATCCATAAATAAAAATAAAAAATATCTTTAAAAGCTATACTAAAATCAATTTCTTTTAATTTAATCCTAAAATAAATATTCATGTAACTTTCATCGCATTTTTTCAATTAATTTCTCACATCTACATTTTATTTTATTTTTTAAAAATCAATGTTTCCGTTAACCAACAAAATCTCTAGGTCTAGGTCTAAACAGTGGTTTAAAAAATATTTTACTTGAATTATTTAACTCGCCCACCTGCCGACTCAGTTAAAAGGTATCGGATATTTATATTGAAAATACTTGAATTTTATGAGTTAGGTACCCTGATCACTTCTTTTGGATTTTCTGGTTAGGCCCAAATCACAAAATTTTAACTGGAATATGTCGAGCTGGTACTTGGTTTCTTATATTTTTTTTAATTTTATTTATATTAGATTTTTTATTTTTAATTCCAAAATTATTTTGCCCTAACATTCTAAATACTTAGTTTCTTAAATTATTTCACCATAATATTCTAAATATTAGTTCTTAAATTATTTTTTTAATTTCAAAAATATTTTAAATTTAATTGTGTTTCTTTAATTTTATTTTTAATAAGTTTTATCTTTTAATTATGCAATTTGAATTTTTAAATTGTATATGTGGATAATGTATTATAGACATTTAAATTTTAGATTTATTTTTTCTATGTAATTTTTTAAAAATAATATAATTTAAATAAAAATTTTAAAAATGAACTGGGTACACTTAACCTTAAGAGAGTAATATTTCGTCACTTTTATTTTTATTTAATTAAGATGTGATAACTGAAGTTAATTTCATTAGATCTTTAACAAATTCATGGTATAATGAATTTATAAAATTAAAAAGGGTAAACTACACAAATTGTCACTAATATTTTTGTAAATTTTCATTTTTACCACTAAAGTTTCAAAAGTAACAAATTGATCACTAAAATATCAAATAAGTCCTTAAACAATGATTCTATATCTAATTTACACCAAAAACTTTCTAATTTTTCCAATATATATATATATATCAAAAATAAAACTTAGAAATTAACTCTTTTGAACATGTAACAATCAAATATTTCGAATGATAAACAAAAAATTAGAAACCTTTTGGAATAAAGTAGATATAAAATCATTGTTCAAGGACATATTTGATTATTTAGTGACCACTTTTGTTATTTTTGAAATTTCAATGGGGAAAACGAAATTTTTTTTTTATTAATCTAAAGCAGGTACAAGGTAATATCTGTTCAAAGATAACTCTTAATCATTTAACATTGAACGCTCACACTCCTGGCATTCCCGGTGCTCGAACCCGTGACCTCAAAGAATAACAACAATTCTTTTACTACTAAGATCGCTTGGTTCGTGCGGGAAAACGAAAACTTATTCAAACATTAGTGATCATTTGTGTAATTTACGCTTTTTAATGTTATATTTTCACTAAAAATTTTGTTAAAGGTTTAACGACAGTTAACTCTTAATGACCACATCTTAATTAAATAAAAATAAAAATGACCCAATATTAATTAAATAAAAATGAAAGTGATCAAATATTATACTTTTTTGATTAGGTGAGAAAAATGTATAAAACTTAAACAAAATTAATCTACCATGTAATTCATCATTTTTTTATTGGTATGAGGTTATTACAAGAATATATGTTTAAATAACTTTTAACCATTTGACAATGACCGCTCAAACATCTATTGTAGACGTCATGCTCAAACTTGAGATAGTTATCTGGTATGGTTTGATTTAGTAAACGTTAAATACCTATAAAAGCTAACAAAATAGTATTATAGATTCATAAATAATGCCAACAAATGAGCCAACTTCAATTGAATAACTTAGGCAAACAAGTAATGTACGCATCACATTTGCTAAAACAAAGACTGTATCAACCATATATATGACCTCTCATTATCTTTTCACTCTTTCATTCATCTATAAAATATATTACATCCTTTCACGCCAATCCATACTTTCATTGTGTTTCAACTTTCTTCTGCAACCTCGCACGTCTTCGTTGTACATCAACAAACACTGGATGAAGAAGAAAACAAGGAAAAATAACATGCATGTATAACATATAAATGCTGTTTTACATGGCTAACGTAAGCATCTATAGATTTTGCATGCATATTCTCACTTGGTGGACTTGAATTCAACTTTGTGGATTTAAGAACTTATCAACCCTAGCGTTTGCTGCCCTTGAGAGAAATTTCATGCAAATTGGTGGTTGAACCCCGACTAAAGCGAGTATTGAACTCGGCAAAGTCCATATACCATCACCACAGATCAATCCGGACGCAACCGCCGCAGAAAATGCATCTGCCTTTTCCTTGTTTAACTTTTGCCAGGCGAACAAAATCAAACTTCCAACGCACATATCAATGGCGAAGTACGGGCCGAGGTAAAAAGGTATTGCCATTGCCATTGGAAGTGGAACGTAGGATCCCCATTTGTTGCCCAGCATATCTTTAGATAAGTTTATCAAAATGGCTGCACCAAAGAATACATAACACAACAACAGGCAGTCTTTTGGTAGAGCAGAGAAGCCTTGCACCCCCAATATAGACATGTTGCGGTAAACGGTTGCGAATGGAGCAGGATATTGACTTTCGGGGAGTCCGAGGTTATGGAATGCCTTGTAGAATAGCCAGAAGACACAAGGTGAAACTATGCAGCCCATGGCTGTGCCGATAACTTGGCTAACAAACATGGATCTAGGAGAAGCAAGGGTCAAGTAACCGGTCTTGAAATCCTGCATCAGGTCAGAGGCTGTTGAAACAATGTTCATCATTACACCACATGCTATCAGGCCTGCAAGGACTCCACCATTCGGACCTGCCCAAGCTCCGATGGTAAAAATTGCTAGCTTGCCGTAGGTTGAAGCAAGGGACCAATCCGTCAGGCCAGTTCCATACGCATTACAGAAAGCCAGTGCAGGTGCAAAGATATAGATGACCAAAACAAAATACCATTTGAGTTCGTGAAATATGTGCGGAAGAGTGATGGTGGAGACCGAAGCAATCGTTACGTACCCTGCAATAGAAAACCATGTAGGAATCCGATCTTTTAGAAAGACTTGAGTTCGGCGCTGGTCATCATAAGATAGCTTCTCTGAGGTATCAGGGGAGTGCTGGTCTGCAATGGGGAGAGCTTGTCGTCCTCGAAGTTGATAAAATAAGCCTGTGAGGGTTCTAGTTAACACCTTGATAAAGTTGTATAGCCCATCACCAAGAATCATGGCAATAGCAATAAATACCTGGAGTTACGAAAAAGTCGAAAGAGTCAATGAGGAAGAACATATCTTGAGATTGATATATCGTGTCGGGGAACTACAATTTCAATGGTATTAGGAAACTAACCTTGTAACCTTGCAGGCCATGCATATTGCTCGAGGAAAGATCAGCAGCATACCAATCACCCTTTCTTTCTTCAATGAGGGGCCACATTAGACCCCATGAGATTATTCCTCCAAGCAGCACTGATATGTTTATTATGTAGGGACAAATCATCCCTACTCCCACATACGTTGTTGAGAAATCAAAGAAAAACCTGAAATATTAGCAAAAGGAGACACTTTCAGTACTTGTTTCTAAAATATATTATCCTAAAATGAACTGATTTTACACACTTGTACTCGTATGCTTTAAGCCCGAATGTAGGGAAGCTAGCAAATCCGCAATCTTCTCCAGCAGTGAAAAACCACTGAAAGAAACCCCACAAAAAGCTGAAAGAGAAGAACTTACCCAATGTTTTTACTTGCTTCCTACAAAAGCATGAAAGGATTAGAATGTATATATGTCGAAACGATCAGCTTCAATTAGAAATTCGAAACTATGACACTGATTTTACTTTGCTAGCTTTGCTCCTTGAGGAGTGTGGAAGCTATTGATGAGATGTGCAGTTGCAGTACCACTGGGATATGTCAACTTGAAGTCTATGATCATGATCTGCGAAAAAAAAGAGGACAAAAAGTTGGCTATGGAGGTTAACACAGGAAAAGAAAAAAAAAAAGAAAAAAACCTTTTCCCTGCAAAATTATCATTTATTATCAGCTCAATGGTTTCAATCCTATATTATACTAGGGTGAAGTAAACAAATGGTCCATCGACTATAGAGTATTGCTTTATTAAAAGTTATAAAATGACCACCCGACTATTAATATATTCTAAACTCGTCCTTTTCCGTTTAAAAAATTGACGTTTGTCTGAATTGAATGTTAACCTATTGATTGGGACATAATAAAATATAATCTCATAACCGTTTGAATTATATTTTGTGAATCGACTCTTCGTTAACATTACGGTGTCGAGCCAGTGCTTGAAATATTAGGTCGTTGAGCTAATGCTTGAAAGCAACAGGGTGCTAGCATACATCATTAAAATATGATTTTACCATATTCCAATCAGTAGGTTAACATTTAACTCAGATGGTCATTTAAGTTTTTGACAGAAACTCAGATGGTCATTAAGTTTTTGACAGAAAATAATTAGTTTAAACATATGAATAGTTGAGTGACCATTTTGTAATTTTTAACAGTTGAAGGACTCAACAAAACAATACCCTTAAATTGAGAGATAATTTTATAATTTTTAATACTCGTGAGGCTTAACAAAACAACCTCTTATAATCGTGAGAATATTTATGTACTTTACCCTATAAACAATCATGTATGTACTATTACAGACATCGTGCATTTGGAAATTAGCATTTCTTTGTTCATTGAACACATTGTCACAGAAAGTATAGTGTACCTTCCGAAGGGGCACCACGGAGAAGAGACCAAGAAAGCTAACAACAAAGAGGAAGCCAATTATCCATCCGAGAGACGGATTCTTGAAACCGCCGTTATCGTCTGAATGTTTGGCGATGCGTTCGCTCATTCCGAAGAGGTAACTTCCGAACCCCCCTGTTAGTAAGCACATAAAGTGAGCATAAAAGTTTCTGCAGATCAGTTTGAGGTTGTCATTTAAGCAAAATGAATGATGAAATTCTCTTTAACAATCGTAATGTTGCATACATTACAAAGGTTTCAATTCAGAATATGTACTGAAACCACAAGTTGTATACTGTAAACGAAATTTGTTATGTAATTAACATAAGATAAAATCTGTGATAGGTGAAGCTATCCTAAAATTGATGTTTTTCTTTTCAATGGTTTTAGGTTACAGCATGGCATTTTCACCATTTTTCCATTATATAAAGTAGTATGTCACACAATTTCACATCAAAGATAAACGAGGGCTTCCAAAATCGCCAATGGAACTTGTTCGTGTTACAGTTTTGCAATGACCTATGTTCATCTTTACAGCACATCATATATGCATCTTCATTATTCCATATGTTGACCATTTAAGGTAAGTATGACACCTTAAAAATTCGAGACGCATGAAACACTATTATTTAAATATTTAATTATTTAAAAAAATATTTAAATTTATTCCAGTCCAGTTGAAATGTGTAAAACATTATAAGAAAAAACAAGGATATATCAAAGTCAGATGAAAACTCTTCATTTTTAAGTCGAAATTAAGACAGGTAAAAAAAACCACTCGTCTTGCTGTGTCCCTCAGTTAACATGTGTGGTGTCAAATGGTTTTGAGGTTTGGAGTCCTACCAGGATTGTTTTTTATATGTTTGAACTTTATTCATGACGTGTGTTTTCTTGGGTGTATTATTGAGTAAACTATAATACCTTAACTATTATTTTTGTTTTATTTTGATCATCCAACTATTTTTTTTTAAAATTCATACTTAATTTTTAGTTTTGATTTTATTTAGGTTACTCATGATTAAAAAATTAACCATGATACTAATGTCTCATCATAACATAATGTCATATCATCATTGAAAAAAATGTCATGTTTACAGTGGTCTGTTTACCTAGCAAAAGTTATAGTTGAGGTACTAACTATATAGTTTACCCAAAAACTAATGGCCAGTTTTATAAAAAAATAAACAAAAAGTGGATTAAAGTATAGTAATGAAAGGCAACAATGACGTGGTAATCATGGAAGAAGAACATGGACAAATTTTAAACAATGTGGAAACACACAAGAAGACATAATGGCAGCTTGACTTTAACAGTGTGAATTGTGAATAATTATAAAATTCCTTTTCATTTGGGTGACTAAAGTTAAATCTTATTGACTTTACCAGTGTTGTGATAACCACGCGAACTAGTGGCTTTCTCAATCTTAACCTTTAGTCCTTACCCATTATCATGACTCCATTCCCCAAAGCAAGAGCTTCGTCCAATTAATAATTTACCAAATGTGCACCTAGCTTTTAAATATAAACGATACTTAATTATTTTTTGAGTAAAGTGTACAAATAGTCCTTCGATTATAAAGTATTGTTGAGTCTTTTAATTATTAAAAATTATAAAATATCCTGGATATTACTTTTTTGAATTCCTCAACTATTAAAAGTTATAAAATGATCACTTAACTATTTATTATATTTTAAATTCATCATTTTCATTAAAAAATTAACAACAGTCTTAGTTGGATGTTAATATGCTATATGAGATATGATAAAATCTAAATTCATAATCTCAAATGACTATCATATCTCAGATAGTAGATTAATATCCAACTCAGACTACCATTGATTTTTAACAGAAAAGTATGAGTTTGGAACATAATGAATAGTTGAGTGATCATTTTGTAAATTTTAATAGTCAAAAGACTCAACAAAACAACTCCCTATAATCAGAAGACTATTTTGTAATTTTTAATAACCGAGGAACTCACAAATCAATAATTTTACAGTCAGAGAAACCCATCATACGAGAACACATCATGCGGAGGAGTTATCAGGAACAACGACGGATTATGTATCATGGGTTTTTACAAATTCATCGGAATTTACTCGGTAGTTGAAGCTGAATTGTGGGGAGCATATACGGGCTTGAAGTGTGCATGGGATTTAGGCCAAAAACAAGTTGAAGTAGAGACGGATAGCCTAGAAGCAATCCACCTTTTGAAAAGGAACAAGGATCAACAAGGGAGATACTCAATAATCTCACACATAAGAGAGCTTGAATCAAAGGAGTGGACAATGAAGTTCCAGCATGTTAAAAGAAACCAGAATAAAGTGGCTGATACTTTATCCAAATTGGCGTCACCGAAGGACTTAGAGGTGCATTATCTCCCCAGACCACCTTCAACAGTTCGCAGCTTACTCCAAAACGAGAGTGGCAGAAGTTAGTTTAGCTTTTTAGACTAGTTTCTTTATTCACCAAAAAAAAATATTAAGTATGCTTTTAAAAAAAATAGTTAGCTGACCAAACTGCAACAAAAATGATAGTTAGATTATTAAATGTGTAGTTTACGCAAGGAAAAAAATTCCTAACTTCACCCCACTCACTTGACACTTCCCTCCATTGAAATCGGAATTACATGGTGCTCCCCCTTTCGCTCCAAAATAGCTAACCCGACCCGATTATACAGTGTTCCTATTCCTAATCTAATTTGTGAGATTATTTTTAAACTAATTCAATGTAAGAAATTTTTTATTTTCTTTGTATAATAAAAATAATGGTAGATTATATGTCTAATATCTAAATTATCATTTTTTATTTTTAAAATCATATATAATATTTAGTTATATTTTATAATTTTAAAATCATATCTAATATTTAGTTTAGATTTAAATTTGATACCTTCACGTTAAGAACTTAACAGCACCAATAAGATGAAATTTGCATTACAAGATACGTAGAGTATTGAAAAATGGAAAGTAACTACAAGTCATCGCTATAGATAAGTTTTTAATGATTTGTATCAAATAAAAACCTAGACTAAATGTTAAATATAATATTGAAAAAAATTAAAGTTTAGGTAATAAAACAGAACAAAAGTTATAATCTAGGTACTAAACATATAGTTTACCCAAAATATTAAAAACCAAAGAGAATAAAATAAAAACTTACCGCTGAAGGCGATGCCGGAGGAGGCGACGACGCAGGTCTGAATGACGGTGTTCTCCTGGCGGGTGAAGGGCTGCCGGAAGAGGCCAGATTTCTGGAGCACTTAGTCCAAGTCTTGACGAAGAAAAACCCTAACAATCCGGCTGAGACATTGAGGGAAGGGATGATTCCGGTCGTTAAATTGAGCTTCATTACTATGAAACTGAACAATATGCTCAGCACGAAGCTCACGCCCAAGGCTCTCATCGTTAGCTGCTTCCTCCACGGCGGAACTTGCCTTCTTTCGAAGATTTGCTCCACCGACATCTCGTACTCAGCCCCCTTCTTGTACTTGTTTACATCTTCTTCTTCTACTACTTCGAATCCATGCTCCAACTTATCTTCGTCTCTTCTATTCCCATCCATTTCTCTACTTTTTTTTAGGAATCTTTTATCCCTTAATAATTGAAATGAATCTTTTTTATTGGAAAGCGGATTGATTTTATAGCTAAAACTGTCCACCGATCGGGAAAATTAAACTCACAGGAAAGAAATTATTAAAATACTCTATAGATGATAGGGTGGATAGAGTACGGCATAAAGAAATTGCTCTATATCTAGGGTAAATTACATAAATAGCCATTAGCTTATTAATATCTTTTTTCTTTTGCTTGTTTTACTATTAAAAATTAGGGGCAACTACATGTTTAGTACCTAATCTATTAATCTAATTTCATTTTGGTACCCAAATTTTTTTTTTTTAAATCATACCTAATATTTAGTTTATGTTTTATTTTGGTACCCGTCATTAAAAACATAACTGTGATGTTGATGTGTCACCATAAGATAATGTCACATCATCATTGAAAAATATAAAAATACCACATTAGTTATGTTAAATTTTTAATGGTGAGTACCAAATTGAAACTTATATTAAACGTTAGGTATGATTTTGAAAAAAAATAAAATTTATGTACTAAAATTGAAGAGTACTAAATGTATAATTTACCTTAAAATTTATAAAATAATAATTTGATATATACATTTACTCTTTTAATCCATTTTTAGTAGGTAAAGAGAGATTACGTGATTGCTTCTTAAATTGATAAAATAATATAGTTAGTATACAAAATTAATAAGAAAGGTTTAGACTGAAGTAAAATATCAGTTTTGGCGTTGAAGTTGATCATGGACTATCAAACCAGTGTTGCTCGATGAGTTCCTCCACATGGATTTACAAGATTGTGTCGTAACCGATTTCCGGTGATACGATGATTCTCGACTTATTTTGTGAAAACTCGATTTTGTAAAAAAAATGTTTCGGAGTCGCCATCGGCCTTTTGGATTAGGTAGGTTGAATACCTAAAAAAATTTCTTTTAAAAGAGTTTTTAAGAAAAACGTCATTTTAAAAGATACACCGATTCACGTGTAACCGAAATTTATTTTTTAGTATGAAAAAGGGTTCGGGGGTCGATTACGTGTAGGGAATGATAAGCACCCCCACAACGCCAAAATTAATACCCATCGATTATATATTGTCTCTAAATAATAGAAATCTAAGAATTCGAATATATATTTAAATTACGATTCTATTATTCCGAATTCAACCATACAAAAATTCTAAGGACTAAAATTCTAAAGAAAAATATAAAATATTCTTCTTATTTCCAATTGAAGAGAAAATACTCCCTAAAATACTTTAGGACGAATATTTCTCTTTCCAACTGAAATAAAAAGAATATAATAATTTTCCTAAGAATTCAATATTAAAATAATTTTTATTCAACCAAAGAAAGAAATTAAATTCATTAATCTGAATTATATTATTAGAAAAGATAAGTGATATTCAACAATTTAAAAATGCCGAGACTTAATTTCTAATAAAATTAACAAATTGTCTCGATAAGTTTAAAATAGTGAATATTTCATTTTCCCTTCAAAATTAATTAATTTTCAATGCAATCAATTTTTTTAGGTTTTTCTAGTGGGAATATTTATTTATTTTAAAATATCGGAAAAGAACATCTAGTTGTCTTAAGACTGTCCCTTCTTAATATTTTAATATACATAAATATAACCCTTAATCTAATTATGTAATTGGTTAAGTTATACTAATGAGGCTTTTAAACAAAATAAAATATGATACCTTGAAGCACTTAAAGAAAAAAATATAAATACACATGGATTAAAAGAACAATTCTAAATTTATTTTTAACTTTACATTACTTTAAAAAAACATAAATATTTTCTAAATATTATACTAAACATAGAACCAAATATTTATTCTAAAATAAAATAAAAATAAAAAAATATAACATTTATACCATGCTCTACATACAATCTTATGTACATAAAATAATGTATAATAATACAAGTGAAATAAATACCTAGAACATAAAAATACTTTAATGGTACAAAGAAATAATATACACTTGGATTCATTCATAATATAGTGACAAAATAATTATAAAGTAACTTTGATATCCTAAACATTAATAAAACAAATATTATAGCATTAAACAAGAAAATAACGCATAGAAGCACCAAAATCATAATAAAACTATAAACATAGGACTAAAATATAAAAACATCAACATCAGTAGCCAATCTCGAACAAAAAATAATACATCCAACAGAGGACTAAATTACAATAATATAAAATCATGCATCTAATTCGTAAATCTTAGAAAATAAAAGGAAATGATGACTAAATCACAAAACATGCTAAAATGTAAGGGACCTACGGCTTGATTTACCCTAAAAAGTTACTAAATCACAAATCACATTAAACGTAAAGGACCAGTAAGGTAGTTTAACCTAAAACTAGTGGCCAAATAAAACTTGCTAAAGGTCTGAGGACCTTTAACGTGGTTTACCCAAAAATATTAAGATATCAACTCTTCTTCCCCTTTCCAGAATCATTTTTGCCGTGGTTTTCTAAACCCAAACTCTTTCTCTCTTTTCTTCCTCCCTCAACCCACGGTGGCCACTAAACAAATAAATCAAAGAGAGCCACCACATACGGCGGCGCTACTACCCAAACTACACTAACTCGACTCTAATCGCTTCGTCTACGACCCTATTCAACGAGGAACACAATAAATCCCAGGTAAAATATTACTCTTAACATATTTTCTTTCCCAAAAAAAATATTTAAGCTTTATTTTAGTTTTTATTATCTTTTTAAAACGAAAAAGAGAAGAAAAAATACCTTAAGAAAAGACTCTTGTATTTCTGATGGGAAAAAACGAGAGGAAGTCTTCTTTTTTCTTCTCTCGGTTACATCGCTCGGTTCTTATAACGATTTACATAGGTTTAAAAAAGTAAATAAAAAACAATCCTAGATCTACTGTGGTGCTATTGTGTTGATGATGGAGCGTTTTTAATGCTCCAGATATTTCAGGGTTTTGTCGAGCAAGTTTGGATCGGCGGTGACGGCTGAATCATGACATCTCTATGGTTAGGATTAGGTTAGGGTTCTATTGGGGTATGAAAAATGGTGGTTACAACTGCCCCTCTTTGCTAATTACTGTGAAACGGGAATGAAGCAAAGATATAAAAACACCATTTTTCATATTGGTCTCTTCTTGTCACATTGCAACCTCTTCACTGCAAATGTCGATTCTTTTCTTCCCATGATAGTTGCACCAATAGTGATGCCGATCCAACTCCTTATGCAATGGATTTAGATGACAATGTTTGATCTACCTCATTCTGTGAAAAACGAAATGTTGGTGTTGTTCCAACTCCGTATGCGATGAAAACAAGTTAAGGTTGAACAAGTTCTTCTCATTATGAACTTGTTCTCCCTCATCGGATGAGTTTTTCTCATTATGAACTCTCCACTGAAAATGTTGATCTCATGAGTGATGTGTTGCTGATTCAACTCCATATGCAATGAATCGAGCTAAGTTTGAACAAGTTCTTCTCATTGTGAACTTCTTCTCCTTTTGTTGGACGAGTTCTTCTCATTATGAACTCTTCTGGAAATGTTGATTCACCTCCTTCTGGGGTGAATTTGAAAGGAACGAGTTCTTCTCATTACGAACCTTCTCCTTTAGGACGAGTTCTTCTCATTATGAACTCTTCTGGAAATGTTGATTCACCTCTTTCTGCGGTGGATTTGAAAGGAACATGCTCTTCTCATTACGAACCTTCTCCTTTAGGACGAGTTCTTCTCATTATGAACTCTTCTGGAAATGTTGATCGGTTTATCCTCTCTTTGAAGAGTTTTAATTCTGCAAAAAAATATCGTGTGTCAGTGATTTGTATTTAAAGTACCTGGAGGTAATGACCCGATGGTCATTAATTCTGCTGAGATCCATTTCTTTCAATGGTGACAAATATAGAATGATTCTCAGCTGAAGTCGAGAAATGAAATCTTGTTGACTCTTTGAATTCCTTAATACTGCAATTGCTGAGTTTTTGTGTTTGTTGGGTCCATCTTGGAAACGACAATGCTCATTCTCATTGAAGTGGCCTATAAAAGTCAAGTTGGAAGAAAGGCATTATTGAAAATGCTTCTAGGGAAAAATATTAAGAATGACTCATGCGGCATCCCATAAAAACGGTCTTAAGAAGGACTCAAACAATTCTCTAGAAAAATGATCCTAAGAAGGATAAAATCATTTTCAAAATAGACTTTACAGATATCCTTATGAGAGGAAAATCAAAATTTGTCATGTGTATGAAATGTATGATGCGAAGATGCAAATTCATGTATGAATGCAGGTTTTCTTAATCTGTTGGAAATGGTTGCAAGATCAGCCTTCATTGCTAGATCAATCTTCATTCTTCACCTGGTTTGATTTTCTTCTTTATCTATCGCACCTGAGTGTATTCTTTTGAATCTTGACTTGTGAATGGGCGCATCTTGCACCAGTAAATTTTTTTTTGATAAATTTAGCTTCTTCAAAAAGATTCATTTACAGTTATCAAGAAACCCCTAAAATTAGGCTTAGCTTCTTTAAAAATTCTTTGGAGATAATCATCAATAAACCCCTAAAAATCAGGCTTAGTTTCTAAAAACTCATTTGAAAACATCCCGCCCGAAGGTCTTATGGATAGCCCGAAAGACTTATCATCTTGCTCGAAAAACTTATAGATGACCTGAAGAATTTAAGCATCATGCTCAAAAGACTTACTTATCAAGAAACCCTTAAAAATCAAGCTTAATTTCTTAGTTGTCAAGGAACCCCTAAGAATTAGGCTTAGTTTCCTTTTAAAAACTCATTGAAAATCATCATCAAGAAACCCCTAAAAATCAGGCTTAGTTTCTAAAAACTCATTTGAAAATATCAAGAAATCCCTAAAAATTAGGCTTAATTTCTTTGAAATTCATTTAAAACATTAAGAAACCCCTAAAATTAAGCTTAGCTTCTTTCAAGTTCATTTGAAAACATCGAGAAACCCCTTAAAATCAGGCTTAATTTCTTTGAAATTCATTTAAAACATTAAGAAACCCCTAAAATTAAGCTTAGCTTCTTTCAAGTTCATT